TAATGTGCATAGTGTGACACACATAGTTGGACAGACATAGTGTGACACACATAGTTGGACAGACATAGTGTGACACACATAGTTGGACAGACATAGTGTGACACACATAGTTGGACAGACATAGTGTGACACACATAGTTGGAGACATATAACAATGGAGGCTGGAGTGTTAGGTTAATTCTTTCTCTAAAACAGTATCAGTCATAGTAAGGATGTGTAAATTAACATATGATTGACAAAAACCACCCATAATAAACACGACTATAAACGCAGCGATGTTAAAAGCTGGTTTTTTTATGTCATTGAGTTGTGCCTTTTGACGTCACACCCCTGTACAATAGTATGTTGCTTATCATTTTATAAGCAAATAATTATAATTCATATGACGTGCACTTAGTGAGTTACTCACTGTGTGAGCTCATGCAGTCCTTGATTTTTGTTGTGACAATTGAATCGATGATTGATGATTGATCTGTATGATTGAAGCGCAAGTACTTCCTATCCAATTGACTAGTTTGGATTTGAATGAGACTGATGTTAAAGAAACGAAAGTTGGGTTTACATTAAATATCTATACAGAGCATGGCTTTGCTGACTTCAGTGTAATATGGTGGTAATTAATACAACTGACAACCCCTGTATAACATGAATATGTGCTTACCTTGTAAATCTTGAAGTGTCTGCGAGTCAATACATTGAAACGACGAGTCCAATCGCAGAGGCTGACAACATCGCTGACATACAAAGCTCACTTGATTGGTTGGAATAACCAATTTGCCTGGCTCAGTCATGGTTTTCACGCCAGTCGCCATTGTCGAGATAACATCAACAACATTCAACTTCCATGAAATTAATAACGCCGTTCCTCGGTACAACGCATGGACTTATTAGTTATGTATTCTAAAACAATGTGACAAAAATATTCACAAGAACCAACGAAACTGGGCGAAATATTAAAAACAACCCACGGAAATGAAAACACTTCCGCAATATCCCTTGGCCTCGGTTTGAGTGAAGCATACTATTTTACGGCAAATGAATGTTCGTGGATATATAACTTTTGATATACCAAGCTTTATGTGTTATCTACAATCTGTGTCCAATTTTAAACAATATTTCTGAAAAATATTAAAATAATGATTGACTGGCAAATAGTAAAATACACAAAATAGCAGTTTATCGGTTCAAAATTTTACGACATGTCGTCAAACAACAAAGTTTGCGTACATAATAGTATGACGTCAGTGATTTTTTACATATATTGCGGTATACCCAAGCGTGTCTATGGCGTTTGCCAAGGCAACTCAACTCATGTTTTATGTTTCTCTTTAGGACCTTCGTTACGAAGGGTAAGTACCATTTGCTGGTCATTACATGTCACGATCGAGTGCGTTGAGCTCACGATATCTGCCTTTCCAAAACTACAGATCACCTAAACGGAAAACGACAGCAGTCCACGTGTGATTATCTGAATCAGATTATTCCAAAACAATAACACCGGCATTGCTTTGTTTTAAAAAATCAGGTCAGTTAAGGTTGATTTAATTGTGTTGTGTAGCCCCAGTGCGCAGGACACTCTAGTATTAATGGCGTTACGGAAAATATCATATATCTCGGAGATTGACAGCATAATGGATCACGTACACGTACTTCAATGATGGACGACTATAGAAGCAACAGTAGCTTTGGTCTGTAGTGGAATTTTCTGGACACTGGTTAAAATTTATTAGACAAAGCTCCACGAACTACAGTATGTCATGCAATCGGTTGAATGTTCAAGTTACTTTGTATTTTATTATACAACAGCTACGTAAATTGGAACGATATAATGACTCACAGTAATAGGTGATTTTCCGTACAACTGCGAGATCTCGCGAGATGCATGAAAGACGCGCGTCAAACGTCTGCCGCAAAAATTGAACGATTTGATTTTGAACTCGAATTTCTTTATTTCTTAGCTCACATCGACCGGCCGATCTTTGACAGAGGAATATTGCATTCGAATATCCTCTTTTAATCGAAATTGTCTATCATCAAATGTGTACAGCACATTATTGACATGGAAATGTCCCCAAAATACTTTAGCGTTTGTCGAATCTCACGCGATGTTTGACGCCACTACGACGCTATGACCTTTGTTTGTTCTGTTTTTATGTTCGATTTCACGCATAACGCGTGATTCTCGCAGTGAACGGAAAATGGTCTATTCATAAGTGATTTTAGTGATACATGTATATCCCTTTCGATAATATATTCACCCAACCTAATGACCTACTTGTCTCATCTTTGATCAGATTGTTGAAAAGCAACATTGCTAATTTTCTAAACACTTTTGTGAGCTAAATTGAAGCTACATTATGGTACCCTGTCTGCTACTTGTGTGTAATTGTATTTAATTTAATTTAATCTAAATTAATTTAACAATGCTGTCTTAGGGACAGAAATCAGTATATCTATCTTGGCCCTGGTCAACATTTCTATAATATTCTCAATATATATACATGTATACATAAACTGGGAATGAATATTAATTAACAAGAAATGATAAATGTAAATTTCTTTGATTGGTAGTTTATTGAGATATTAATAATATTAGTGTTGTGAGTGCCGCGTTCAATTTCTCGCATAATGGCATGTTCCATTGCCTGCCAGAACACTCATCGCCCAGTCAATCTTTCCTGGGATCTTCTACTTAGTTTCACCTCCACATCGTCACCATATACCAGTTTTAAATATCCTTCTGATCTTAGACGAAATTCGATAAACTCTTGTGTACGTACCAATGTCTAACCGATGCAACAAAAATGTTGCACAATCTCTTAAACCGTTGCCTTCGCTAGTCAAACTTCCTGCGAGCATTCGCAAGAGGCGAATAATCTCCATCTCTAGACGCGCTTTGACATAATAACAATAATTGTTCAAAATCAGAAACTGCATTCAAAACTGTTTTCATGAGGATAATTTGTGTAATTTCATTATAAGTTTATATTTCTCGAAAGGTTCAAGATAGAATTCATTAAATGAACGGTGCATATGTATGCATGAAATAATAAATTGCCCGATATCAACAATGACATGATTGTTTGATGAAAGTTTGACTGGACACTTACATGTTGTAATAGTTGAACACATCTGAAATTCTGGTCTGTTGTTTTGATTAACTGTCGCATAGGCAGGTATGTAACTTTATTGCGTCTACATGTATAACAGTCACTAGATTGTCTAAGAAAGTGCCTGGGGTGTTGCAAAGTTCCTTGGTAATTGCCTACCAGGTGTGGGAGTTACATTGTAGGAGTATGTAAATATCTTGCGCCCGCTGTAATATCAACATTGTAGATGCATATTGTAGCTACAAAATCTATATAAACCAGTATTTATACTCTTGGTTAATGTCACATACATAGTTTCATGTCTAATATCTAGAAGTGCATCTACTAAAATTGTCATAAAAAAATACATGTATACAGTATGTGCAAAAGTTGTGTATGGTTGTACAGTGTATGAAATGGCATTCTAGGTGCTGGTCTCTGTACATATGGGTAATGTACGGCTCCTGATTGGCTGGCTTTTTTTAAGTAGTGTCCTTTGATGTTTCCTGGGTCAATTACATGTAGCTGAAAACAATATTTAATGTGAATGAAAAAGCAGCCAACCAACAGTATTGCAGTATAACTCACTGTTTTGTTAACAAAGTAGCAATATTGATATTAGCTTGTATCTACAAACTGTTAACTTTTTAGCTATTGATATTAGCTTGTATCTACAAACTGTTAACTTTTTAGCTATTGATATTAGCTTGTATCTACAAACTGTTAACTTTTTAGCTATTGATATTAGCTTGTATCTACAAACTGTTAACTTTTTAGCTATTGATATTAGCTTGTATCTACAAACTGTTAACTTTTTAGCTATT